TTCCATAATATGTTTAAAATCTCTCCTTTACGCCCACATCGTCCGCGATCCTTCGCAGTCGGATTGCCTACCTGGGAGGTTTAAACGCGTTTAACTGGATTTTCATTGGTGATCGCTTGAGAAATCGAGCGCTCGATTCGACTTAAACTTTTTTGCGTACTAAACAGCACAACGCCTTCGACGTCAGGAGGTATGACAATCCGCCGCAGGCGGTTTGCCCTGTCAGGAATCGATATTTACTGGACGATGACTGATAACTAGACACTTCATCAACCTTTCGGAGTGTATATTTATTTATTTTCTATGCACAAAAGCACAGGGCAAGCTACGCGGATTGCCCAGTCGAGTAACGACAAGCACCGAGTAATGACTGATAGCTAGACATTTAATTACCATTTCGGAATGTATTTATTTATTTTCTATGCACAAAAGCACAGGGCAAGCTACGGGACAAGGTGTATTACACCTGTGAATTTAATGAAATGACCGACCACAAGACGCTCGAATTAGACTTTTATTATTCACGCGTTTAAAACGACACCGCCAAAGTGTAGAGCCACCAAATCAGAGGTACCAACATGTCAAACGTCGTTATCACTGGTTTTGCCTACTAGACTTTTCTAACTGCTGTATTCTTAAGTCCTGTCACCGACCTAGGAAATTCACTTCAAACGATATTTAGCTACCTAGGGTACTCACATACAGCGAGTTTTACTGACCTAGGGTATTCACATACAGCGAGTTTTACCGACCTAGGGTATTCACTTACAGCGAGTTTCACCGGTGCTAGTTTATAAACTTAAAATACATTAAAAAAAAAAAAAAAACAACTAAGGCAAAATTAATATGATAATTTAATAAATAAATAAATAAATAAATGAAATAATAATTGTTATAATTTTGTATATGGGTAATAAAATGTAATTTATATATTTATTTTTAAAAAAGACACAATTTAAAAAAATGAAACAAATATTTTAGTTTAGGTCTAACCTCCTAAAACCGGAGTTGGTAAATTGCGTCCCGCAAAAAAGGTCATAGTTATATAGTGTGTAAATTGCGGCCTGAGTATATTTTATAGTTTATACATACGTAAATTGCGGCCCGGGTATATTTGAAATGTACGTAAATTCCGATTTCCGGTCGGCTGGTTATATTATCTTTAAATTGATCGATAAGATCACTTGATGCTCACTTATATAATATTACTAGCCGCCAGTGTGCTGTGTGCATTTGATCGAAATATTTCGCACGAGTTTTTACATTGGTCTACAGCAGTGTTTCCTAACCTTTTTTTACTCAACGCCCCTTTTAGATTTTAAAAATCTCATACCGCCCCCCTCCCAATCAATATTTTCAAAAGATTAATAAGCTATTTAATTAAAGAAAAAATATAATTTAACATTTTAACGCTATAATTTAGTTAATTTTATTTTTAAATACCTTTATTTAACTAATAATAATAATAAATATTATTTAACTACTGAAATACTGATGTGACTAATGATTTCCCTGAGGTTGATGGTTTCCTGCTAACGAAATTATATCTGGCTCAATAGATGTCAGCATTAGTCTTAAATCTCCTCTTTCACATATTTCTAATTTGTTTCTTGATTTTGTCAAAAGTTGTTGAACCGCACTAAAGCCTTTTTCGACCAGGTATGTCGACGGAAAAGCCATAATAAGTAATTCCACTTCTTTCCAAAGTTGAGGATACATAGATTTTTGTTTGAGCCAAAACAACTCGTATCCATTATGTTTAAAATCGATTTTAGCTTCTTCGTTGTGCTTCACTTCGAGTAGTTCTTCTTGAATTGATGGTTGGAGATTTTGTATATCTGCTAAAAATGGATTTAATACCCATTCTGGTATAATCAAGTCGTTGATGTCCTTAAATCTTGTACTCATATCATCTTTAAGGGATTCAAGGTGTGCACAGTATATTTCTAAGTCAGAATCTAAAATTTGTTTTGAGCTTGATAAGTTGTAAAAATTATTAAATTCACGTCGACTAATTTTGTCTTTAAAAAAACTTAATTTTGAAATAAATGCACTAATAATGGGCTTCGATTTTATAAAATTAATTTTATCGCCTTGCAAATTTTTATTGACATCATTAAGTTTTTCAAAAATATCTGCTAGGTATGCGATATTTGTCTCTCTTTTATGTAATTCATCGTAAAGTTGTTTATCAAGTGGCTGCAGAAATTCTAGTATAGTTTGAAATAAATTATAAAAGCGTGTCAAACAATTTCCTTTTGAGAGCCACCTAACTTCGGTGTGTAGAACAAGGCGTTCAAAGTCTTCATCATTTTCGTGGCATAATTTTATTGTCGAAACAAACGGTCATTCAATGATTTAGCTTTGATTTTATTAACAGCATTTATAACAAACCGCATGGTATCAAATAATTCATCACTTAAATTTTTAGATACTAAATGTTGACGATGAATGACACAATGAACTGTTAAAATCCCAGGGACTGCATTTTTTAAATGAGCAATAAAGCCACGTTGACGTCCAATCATTGCAGGCGCTCCGTCAGTCGCACAAGCTATACAATTTGTGATAGGAATATCCTTTTCTGTGAAAAAATTATCGACTACTTTAAATATGGTTAATCCTTTAGTATCCGTGTTTAATGATTTTGCAAATAGTAGTTCTTCCGTTATTTTTTCATCGATGTTTACATATCGCACGTACGCAAGTAAGAGGGCTTCGTTATCTCGTAAAGTGGATTCATCAAGTTGTAAAGAAAATTTTGTAATTTTTAAAATATCACACAATTTTATTTCAACATCATACGCCATTTCATCAATTCGTCTGGATACAGTGTTATTACTAAGAGGAATAGATGAAATTATGTTAGTTACATTTAAATTTGTCATTGATTTTAATATTGCTTCTACAGCAGGTGAAATAAGTGTTTCGCCGATAGTATGTGGTTTTCCACATTTTGCAATTAAAAGAGACACTTTGTAGGATGCAAGGAGACCTTTATCGTTATTTAGATGTGTTTTATTAAAAAGTCCAGTCACGGTTTTTCGTTTTTCAAATTTATTCTTTAGGTCAGTTAAGTATAAAATATTTTTGTTACTTTTATCTGCATGTTTTTTCATAAAATGCTCTTTCATTCTTGAAGGTTTCATGGCTTCATTACTAAATGTTTTTTCACAAATGAGACACAAGGGTAATTTTTCATTTGTCGGAGATACAATAAAACCAAATTTCAAATACTCAATGGAATATTTTCTACATTTTTTGTTCTCGGACATTTTATAATATTTACGAATACAACTTTTACGTACACGCACAATAATAACGTCAAGTATCTACCTAGTACCAAATACGACTACACACAACATTGTTGTAATCGGCTATTCGTCGCTAATCGGAATCTATACGATAAGTCCGATAAGACAATTATTTAGATGTTATAAAAGTGTCTATAAATATTATACCTACATTATTCTGTACATAGTATATTATATTTGGTATTTTAAATTAGTTTTTATTCTACGCAGTTATACATTTCATCGCAATCAGCGCAATCAGTTATAGACAATACAAATGTAAATGATAGATGAGCGCCCCCCTTAGCGCCCCCCTCAGAAAAACGCCCCCTTCAAAATAAAAAATGCCCACAAGGGGGCGGTAGCGCCCACGTTGGGAATCACTGGTTTACAGTATTTACAGTATTTGGTAAATTAGTATTTGTATTTTTTTTTAAATTTAATAACAATGGAAGTTATGAAAAGTGAAAAAAATATAACGTTGAAAATAGTTGATGGTTTCAAATTTCGTTTTCAAAAACTTCTGAAGAATGATATTCAACGTTGGTGTTGTACAAAGTAGGCAAATATATTAAAATATACCGGGGCCGCAATTTACGTATGTATATAATATACCGGGGCCGCAATTTACGTATGTATAAAATATACCCGGGCCGCAATTTACGTATGTATAAAATATACCCGGGCCGCAATTTACATAAAAAATTTAAAACGGGACGCAATTTACAGCGACCCCCTAAAACAATCCTATTACCTATTTTATAGTAGGATTATTTTAAATAATGGAATTCATTGTTGGAGGTAAATAATACACCTAGTTAGACATTTCAACAGAAAATCATTGACAAAGCATTCATGATAAATGTTTAATAAATTATCATTTATGTATTGATTGTTGTTAAAAACATCTACCTTCTATTAAATTCTATTAAAATTCAATAAATATTTTGAATAAAATATTACTTTTGCTAATATTAGATAATATTCCTATATAGTACATAGTTAAGTATATAAGTAATATTAATATAGGCTATATTATATTGTATTATTACATTAATTATCAAATCAAGAATGTATTTAATTTAATTTTTCAATCATCATCAATAGTTTAAGATATATAACTTATTATTTACATTTGAACAAACACCTAAACTAGTTATTAAATTAAATTTTAAAAAAAACTAACATCTAACTATTACTCTGACTTAAGTTTTTATTTTTAACAAACTATCTTCTAACTAAAGATAAAAATTTGAAAATTTTTCAGTTTTCAGAACTAATTAAAAATAATGACTACCCTGCCTAACTGTTGTTATGGGCTACGAGATGTGCTAATAATATAATATAATATAATATAATATTCATGAGCTACGAGATATGCTAATATGTAATATATGTGTAATATTGCTATAGGTGTTAGCAATAGTGATCTAAATATATATGTGATCTAATAATTATAATGTATACGAATATTAGATTCATATTTTGTAAAAACATTGTAATAAATCAAAATAGTAGTTCTTAGGCGAGGTCGTTTTGCGTTTACAAGAATTGCCAGTAAGACGATAACATCCTGGAGATTGTTGTTTCAAATGTGAAAACAATTCCAAGAATTAATCTAAATTGGAAGGTTGACGATTACAACAACAAGATATTTTCTTGTATATAAGGGAGTCCGAAGACCAACAAGGGTAGATGTACCAGAGCTACGAAGAACAGAGCAACTTCACGACACTCAGCCACTTCTTATATCAGTTACATGTATTTTATTTATACAGATTAAACATTATTGTAATTAAAAGTTGTACAATTCATTTTAATAACACCTTGGATCTGGATCTGATATTGGCACGCAACAATTTTGGCGCAGTCGGTAGGATACACTTTTCAAGGAGGCAACCGTCAAAGGCTATCATCAACAAGGAAGACTTGATCACTTTTCTTTGCTGATAACTCCAGAAGAGAAAACCAACAACAACGTTGCAGTATCAGACAAGATGACAACATCACAGAACATGGCATTATTGTAAGTGAACAATTAATTAATTTATTACACAATATATGTTACAAAAGTATAAAACCTAGAAGTATCATTTAAGAAACTGAATATATAAAGTAGGTCGTAAATTTTTTTTTTGAGGGCATATTATTGAATTTTATTATTGTTAAAGGGTATATTATGTTGAGATATTGTGATTATTAAATTATTTTGAGGGCATATTGAGTTATTTGAATTATTTTGAAGTATATTATTGAATTTATTGAGATTATTAAAGGGCGTATATTATTGTGAATTATTGAGAATTATTATTGAGAATTATATTGTGAATTATTGAGAATTATATTGTGAATTATTGAGAATTATTATTGTGAATTATTGAGAATTATTATTGATTATTAAAGGGTATATAAATATAAAAGTTATTATTGAATTAAAACGTATCAAATGAGTGTGAAGGAAATTTATGGAGAACACAGGTACATCTCCTTTGGAAGTAGCTAATCCATTGAATAAAACATCTGCAGATATTTCAGAATTGGAGTTATTAAATAAAACCCAACAGTTGATTGATTTAGGTAGCCCTAGTAAAAACCCTAGCCCTAGCCCGAATTTAAAGCCCAGCTTAAATAGAAGTTTAAGCCTAGATAGTAAAAAAGTTACACGTAGCAAGGTTACAGATAGTTTTCAGCATATAGCGTTAACATTTGAAAGGAACCGCGCGTAAAAAATATGGTTACCATAAGATTAGAGAAAGCATTTAAACTAATACCTTTGTGTACAGGAGAAGATGACATTTATCCATTTATTAATGCATGTGATATGGCAGTAAATTTAGTTGAAGAGAAAAATGCACCGATTCTGGTTAAATATATAACTACTAAGTTATCAGGTAGAGCATTGGAAATGATAAAGTATAAAAATGTGACTAAGTGGACATATATTAACAGTTATTTAACAGATGCTTTTGAGGATATGACAACAGCTTCAAGTTTACAAATACAGTTAAATTCTATTAAAATGCGTAATGGTGAGGATGTTAATGATTATTGTCATAGAGTAGAAAAATTATATTATAAGTTATGTACTGCATGTACACTTAACAAAGAAGAATCTGAAGCTAGAGTAATACACGAAACGTTAAAAGAACAAACACTAAATATTTTTATAAAAGGATTAATAAGTCCTATAAGAACAATTGTAAAAGCACGTAATCCTAAAACTTTAGAGATAGCTAAACAATTGGCTAAAGCTGAGGAGGTAGAGTATAATACAGAGAGAAAGAATTATAGGTATAGAAATGATTTTTCTAATAATAAAAGTTCTAATAATAATTATAAACAGAATAACAATTGGCAGCATAAAAATAATACAAAATATAAAAATATGAATAATTATTCTAAAAATTTCCAACAAAATAAATCAAATTATCAGACACGAACAAATAATTATCCACAGCAAAATAATTTTAACAAACCACCAATAAAATGTTATAATTGTAATGGAAATCATTATGCAGCTCAATGTAGAAATAAACCAATACAAAATTATACAAACTATAACGTTAATCAACCAAATAGAAATAAATTTGTACAGCCATCAGCTAACTATAATGTAAGAGTAATTACATGCACATATTGTAAACGGAAAGGTCATGATATAAATGTTTGCTATAAGAAACGTAATAATGAAAGTAAAAATAATAATTCGGGAAACGTAAACGCTTCGAGCGAGGAACGCGGTACTCGATCGATAAACCAGATAATCGCGGAGGAAATGCGCAATGTTTCCATATAGTGACAGATATAGAAAATAATCATATAACGTGTATTTCACCCGCAAGCAAAACAAATAAGTTAGATTTATTGATAGATACAGGTAGTCAGGTGAATATACTTAAAATAAACTGTTTACAAGGACAATTAATTATAAATGAAACACAAAAAATTAATTTAAGAGGCATACATAAAGAAATATTACAGACAATAGGTAAAATAGTTATATCAATAATAATAACTTATAACAGTATAGACACGGAATTTTATATTGTAGGAGCACAATTTCCTATACCAAAAGATGGTATACTAGGTCATGAATTTTTATTAAAAAATAAAGTAATAGTACATGTAGGAAATAATAAACTGGTTATACAAAACGATGAAACAACATTGAATAATTTAAAAAGTAGTTCAATAATTTTGACATTACAACCTCGAACGGAGACTGTCGTAGAAATAGCAGTAGCTGACCCAGAAGTAGAAAGTAAAAGTATATATATACATAAACAACAAATTACAAAAGATGTTTATTGTAGTAGTACAGTTTCAACTGTAAATAAAGGGAAAGCAATAGTTAGTATGCTAAATATATCTGAAGAATTAAAAAATGTTAATATGAGCGATTTAAATAAAATACTTTATGATAGTGAGTATGAGATATATATAGTAGAATCAACAAATAATCATAATGAGCGTATAGAACAATTAAGGAAAATTATAAGAACAGATCACATGGATGAGAATGAGAGAAAAACTATTTAAGAGATATGCGAAAGATATAATAGTATATTTCATATGGAAGGGGATATTTTAACATTCACCAATGCAGGTACCCATGTAATAAGATTAAAACAGGATCAACCACCTATATATCGTAGACCTTATAGGCTTCCTCATTCGCAACAAGACGAGATAAATGCGCAAATTAAAAAACTTGAGGATAATGATATTATTGAGAGTTCAAGAAGTCCTTGGAACTCTCCTCTTTTATTAGTACGAAAAAAGATTGATAACTCAGGTAAACAAAAATTTAGAATAGTAGTAGACTTTAGAGCATTAAATGAAGTTACTATAAATGAATTTCACCCTTTGCCAAATATTACTGAAATATTAGACCAGTTAGGTCAATGTCAATTATTCTCTGTTCTTGATCTTTCTAGTGGATTTTATCAAATTAAATTAGAAAAAGAATCACGAGAATTAACAGCCTTTTCGACTAATCAAGGTCATTGGCATTTTAAACGTATGATACAAGGAATGAAAACTAGTCCTGGAACTTTTCAAAGAGTTATGAACTCAGCATTAGCTGGTTTAATAGGAATAAAATGTCTAGTGTATTTAGATGATATTATTGTATACGGAAAAAATTTATATGATCATAATGAAAAATTAATAGAGGTGTTTGAGCGATTACGAACCAATAATTTAAAGTTACAGCCAGATAAATGTGAATTTTTGAAACGAGAATGTGTGTATTTAGGACACGTAATATCAGAAAATGGAATTAAACCCGATGAGAAAAAAGTGAAATCAGTGTTAGAATTTCCAAAACCAAAAACCGTAAAAGATATAAAATCATTCTTAGGACTAAGTGGTTATTATAGAAAATTTATAGATTCCTATAGTACAATTGCAAAACCTTTAACTAATCTTTTAAAGAAAGATATTAAATTTGTATGGAGTGAAGAATGTCAAAAATCATTTGATAAATTAAAAGCAGCTTTATGTTCTAAACCAATACTTAAATATCCAGATTTTACTAAACCTTTCATATTAACTACGGACGCGAGTAATAAAGCGCTAGGGGCAATATTATCTCAAGGAGAAATAGGTCAAGATTTACCAATTTCGTATGCGTCGCGAACGTTGAATAAAAGTGAAAACAATTATTCTACAACCGCGTTAGAATGTTTAGCTATAATTTTTGGTGTAAAACAGTTTAGACCATATTTATATGGAAGAAAGTTCATAATACTTAGTGACCATCGTCCTCTGACATGGCTTTTCAATTTAAAAAATCCATTGTCAAAATTAGCACGTTGGAGAATACAACTTGAAGAATATGATTATGAAATACGATATAAACCTGGGGTACAAAACTCTAATGTAGATGCTTTAAGTCGTATGTATTCAATACAGGAAATTAAAAACGAGTCATATGAGGAATTTCTTGAGAAAATGAAAACACAATTAATTACAAACAATAATATAAAGGAAACTATAGGTACATTATTAGAAGCACCCATAGAATATCATATAGTATCAGAAATTGCAAAGCAATATAATTTAACATCAGGAATAAATTATGAAATAAAACAAAAGTTTGGAATTAAAACATTTTTACCAGTTAGTAAAGTAATAGGAGATACACCGTATGTAATACAAAATAATCGATACATAATATTTTTAGTTACGAAAAATAGAGATCATCAGAGGTCAACGTATGAGAACATATATATAGCGTTAGTGAACTTGAAACAACTTTGTGAAGAAAATAAATTAAATAAAATAGCAATGAATAAATTAGGTTTCAATGACGATTTAGAATGGGATAATATAAGGTCAATGTTAAGATACATATTTCGTAATACTAAAATTGAAATTATAGTATGTACGAGTATAGAATATTCGGAAGAAGAGAAAGTAATTATTTTAAAACAATTTCATGATTCAAAGTTAGGAGGACATTTAGGAGTAAATAAAACCGTAAAACGAATACAAAAGCAGTTTAGATGGAAAGGTATGAAAAATGATGTTAAAAAATATATAAAAAATTGTACGCCATGCCAAGTAAATAAAATTTCGAACCGACATGTTAGACAACCAATGGCTATTACATCCACAAGTTCGAAACCATTTGAGAAAATATTTTTAGATATTGTAGGACCTTTACCAACAACTTTGTCTAGTAACAATTATATTTTAACAATGCAAGATGACTTGTCTAAGTATACGCTAGGAGTACCAATACCTAATCATCAGGCAAACACGGTCGCGGAAGCCTTCGTTATACACTTTGTGTGTGTACACGGAATACCGGGAACGATATTGACAGATCAAGGAACGGATTTCCTTAGTAAAACGTTTACGGAAGTTTGTAAATTGTTAAAAATCAATAAAATTAATACTAGTCCTTTCAGATCACAAACAAATGGAGGTCTTGAAAGATCACATAGAACCTTAGCAGAGTATTTGCGACATTATGTAGATAAAAATTTAAATAATTGGGATCATTTATTACCCTATGCATTTTTTGTATATAATTCAACAGTACATACATCGACTAACTATCAACCATATGCATTAGTATATGGGCGTACATTGGAAATACCAATTAAATTAAAATCTGAGCCAGAACCACAGTATAATTATGATGATTATTTATATGATTTAAAACAAAGTATGCAAGTGTCACATACGGGTAAATTAGCAAGAGAGAAGTTAATTGAAAATAAAGTAAAAAGTAAAGAGAGATATGATAAAAAAGAGAATCCTGTAGATATACATGTAAAAGATTTAGTACTTTTAAAAGATAATACACATAGGAATAAACTTAATTCTTTATGGTTAGGACCATATGAAGTAATTGAAATAATAGGAGATGAAAATATAGTTATACAACGCGGTAGACGAGGTATTACAGTACATAAAAATAATGTGAAACGATATCATAATGATAAAATAAATGAATAATTATAGATATGGTAGATTATATTTTTTTTTTATATATAACATTAACTTTAAGTTTTTGATTTTTTTTATAGAACCAAAACATACAATTTTAATATTTTGGACTTTGAATTTACAATATTACAAAAAAACAATCACGTATTGATCTGCGGGGCAATTACGGACAATTTAAGTCAAAGTGAAACGGTTAAATTAGAAGGATGGCCTTTTTTAATATCTAGCAATGAAGTCCGTCCTACTACTAAATATGAACAGGATTGGGCGATTAAAAATGTTAAGAAATTTTTTGGTTGGCCGTCCACCAAAGCGAATATATGTTTATCGCAAATTAACGAAAGTAGTTGTTCTACTATAAATAATTTAAATAGAAAAACAATATTAAATTACATTAATCGGGGGGAACAAAAATCGGCATTTGTTTTATGGAATGGTGATATGGATATGTTTTTTTTAAACCGTTTAGATTTACATTATCCAATTTTAAATATAAGAGCTTATGATAGTAGTAATAATAGGCAATTTTTCTTACAATTACAAATCAACAAAATTACTATAGAAGAAATTGAATTAGGTAGTTATAAAAAAAATGGTAGATTATTAAACTTATTTGAAAGTCATGAGTTGGCTTGTGATATAGACCATAAAATAACTCATGCTCATGATCCTTGTGCAGACGTAATATTAACGAAATGTTTATTCGATAAATTACTGGAAAAAATTACTTATGAGACATTAATAGAAAAATTACCATAGGAAATAATATTTTACTTTTAGAAAAGTAATTTTTTTTACTTTTAGATTGGTGTTGATGGTTGGAATAAGCAAGGCTAATGAAATAAACTCATCAGACTATTATACATATACACCATATGAACAAGACAAGGGTTTGCATTATGAGAATTTAGGTCCAATTAGGATAATAGGAGCAGAATATAAGCTCATTACTTACTTTTCACTAAAAGAATATAACGCGAAATACGAGATATTAGGAGAAAAAATGAAAAACATAACAAACATATGTACTGATAAAAATCATATAGATTTATGCGGAAAATATCAAATAGTAATAACCGACTTATACGACGAAATAACTAATCAAAAAGAAAGAATGTATTTATCATTAGGAGGTCAACCTGCTGATCAAGATACTAATAATCAAAGACAAAAGAGGGGATTGATAAATATTATAGGTAATGTTATGTATACGTTATTTGGAGTATGTGATGACAAATGTGTTAAGAAAACCAGAGAAGCAATTCAAAAAACAGAAGAAACAGGAAATAATATTTTACATATAATGAAAACACAAACAACGGTAGTAAAAACAGTTGTAAAGAAAATAGCTAATACAATCAATCGTACTGAAGAGTTATATAAGGACGTGTCAAACAAAGAACAAAAATTGCATAAAAGATTGTTACAAATACAA